AGCCCCTGATTTCTTCCTCCGATATGACCTTTTTCACATGAACATCTTTACCTTTAATGGAATTGTAGAAGTTCATATTCCATATTTGATCACTCATGTGGTTTATGTAAATCCTTTTGGTAGATGATCCTTTTCTCAGTAGCACTTGACTAGAACTGACCAATTTCCCTAAGTCCTTAATTCTTCCTTTGCTCTATTTCCAGGAATGACATGAACTTTCTTTTCCTTAAACATGTCCTTAGTACCCCCACTATTACAATATCATCATTGACTTGAGGAAACTCTTAGCGTTATATGAACTATAAAGTGAGTTGAAGTAGCATTGAATGTAAACTTCTTCTTTTCTTGGACTTTATTGCATCTTCTGTTCATCAACTTTGATGGACTGTAAAGCCGAGGATATCCTTGCAAATCGTAACAATAAGACCTTATATGTCCAAATTTACCACAGTTGTGACAGTTTAGAGGCAGTTTCATGTAACTATTTTAAAGAGGCGACACATGTTTCACACGAAGTTGTTCCATGTGGTCCGACCTTAGAACCTCGGTCTTTGTTTCAGGAAAAACAACCTTTGATGATATAATCTTCACACATTTTTATTTTCATGTCTGTCCCAAAATTTATTCTCTTCATGTCTCTTGACATTTCTCCACACTCCACCATTTCATCAAGCATATTCAAATTTCTTTCAAATTGAGTTATGTGTCCTAGTTTGGAGTTTAAAAATGAAATCTCTTTTTCTACACCTGTGATGGTTGAGGCAAGCTTCTCTGTTTCTTTTTAAAGCACACCTATGATTTTCTTTTGATTATTTATTGTTAACCACACTTTTTCTCGCTTGGAGAATAGAAGTCTGTATGATATATCAAGATCTTCTTTTAACAGGTCTTCAGTACTTGACTCACATTCATAATCATATCGTTCAGAATAAGCCATAACAATGTTTTGGCAGTTTATTCCCCACTTTCATTATAAGAATCAAACCAAGTGACTGAAAGTCCCTTTTTTTATTTCTTTAGAAGGGTAGGACATTTTGTCATAATGTATCCAAAGCCTGCACACTCAAAGCACTGCGTACCGTTGTCACTATTGGGTTTTTCTTCACCCATTTCTTTGATTTGAGGATTGATGTCATACCACTTGTTTTGGACATTTGTCCACCGCTTTCTGTTCAAATATTCCATGAAATTGTTGAATTTTTTACTAAGATATTTGATGTTTTGGGATTAATTTTAAAGGCGTAATATATTGGTTGTTGTGTGATAGTAATGAATTTTAATTTCACTATTTCTAAATGCTTTAACGGTAAGGTTTGTTGGTTTATCAAGCATATGTTATGTGTTGTTTGATTTAACCTTTTTTATTTAGGCTTAAATAGTCTTTTTGTTCTAGTAAGTTGGTGTATTTTTGTTTTTATAGTTCTTAACCGTTTTTTTTGTTTTAACCGTTTTTTTTGTTGAAATATCTCTGAATCTTATAATCATTTTAATTTTAGTCCCAGCAGTGACAACCCGCAAGAATGTCCGAAGAAAAATCCGTATGAAACATGCAGATTTTAAATTTGTATAAAAATTCGAAGGAAAATCCACAATAATCCTACATATTTGCCTGCGAATTTTATTTTCAAAGACTAAAACCAAAAATATTTAACATTTAAAAATTATTTATAAAAAAACGATTTAGGAACTAAAAATAAAAACACTCCAGCTTACCGGGACGAAGAGAGTATTTTTGGGATTCTTTAAAATAATTAAATTTAATCTATTAAAAAAAAGTTATTTAATATTATAATTCTATAATGTTATAATTAGTTATTTATCAGAAAAAAAAAATATAAACTTAATATTCTCGCAGAATAGTTGTCTAAATTCTTGTGGAGATTCCTTATTTTGTTTTTATTTTACCCTTCAACATACTTTCATTCATCCTAGAATCTCATTCAGCATTAATTTATTTTATTTTAAATTAAGCTTGAGATTCAATTAATGGAATAAAGTCACCATTCTCACTAAATTATTTAGTGTATGCTTAGTTCTATACTTATTTGCATACTCTACATATTAGGCATCGATTAACTTAAGAATTATACGCAGTATTAAATAATAAAAATTTTATTTTGTAAATTTATGCTCACTACTAAAACAATTATTTATTGAATATTTATATCAAATTACGATATTATTTTATATTTTGATATAACGATTTTATGTTAATTTATGAGTTTTTTGAGATAATGATGTTATACTTTAAAAGTTATTGATTATATTTGCAAAAATAAATATCACTGTTAGTTATAATTTATTTTTAAATCTTTTATGATTAATTATATAATTGTATATAAGGAGAAATTTCTCTTTAATATTATCTACTCCTTTAAAAAATATACATTTATACAAAGTGAAATTAATTTCAGAATATTATGAAATCAAACTCATTTCATTTTTATAAATTAATTTCCTGGTATATGCTCAAATAAATATATAAATAAATTCTAGTCTTATGAGTATTGGGTGTGAATAGTCTACACCGAATTAAGTTTTATCAAGTCTGAATATGTTTTGCTAAAAATTTAAAATCTAAATTTGACTTGTACCGTATCATATATTTATTTTTTACATCTGAGTCTAACCTTTTTGAATGTTTGATTATTAGCTTACTTAAAAATCTAATTTATTTTAACATTTGTAAATAAAAAATTCAACTAATGTTAGATAAACTAACAAATTAAAATATCAACGAGACTAAATATTTATTTTCATTGACTCATTCAATTTACCTATTAACATAAATTCTGTAATACTATTTATTTAATAAAACTTATGAAAACAACATATGAAAACAACTTATAACATTTTTATAAGGTTTTTTCAACTTATTTTCTTAAGTTTTATTTTCCGTATTTTAATTCAAAGTACAAAATACATTATAATAGTACTAAGTTATTCATATTTATTTAAAAATGATGTCCTTATTGACTTAAAAGATTGTTTTTATATCTCATGGCCTAACATTTTTAGTTAAATAGACTTATAAAAAAGTCTAGGTCTTCTATATAAAAAGTCTTAATATGTCCTAGATCTGTATAGGCTAGACCATATAGGCCCTGTAGTTGGTATGTCATTTTCTCACCCCTAACGAGTATATTTGAAATCTTATTATTTTGATAATTAAAGAATATCTTTTAATGTGTATAATTGTAATTTCATATATATCATGGATATAATTATACAATTTTTTTTTAGTTTTAAATAAAACATAATCAATTTTAATTTGCATGATTGTAACTCACATATCGTAAGCACAATAGTATAAATTTTATTTAGTAAAATAATTAAATTCATTTTAATTATAATAAATATTATATTGATAATAGTAATATTATGGTTTGAATACTCTATCAGTATTAAAAAAATTTGGTGACATAATATTTGTACAATATTATATTTTTTATTTAACATTGTTGAACAATAATTTATTTTTAATATTTAAATAAAAATAAATTTCAATTTAATATTGTTGAACAATAATTTATTTTTAATATTTTAAAAAAAAATGAATTTCAATTTAATATTGTTGAACAATAATTAATTTGTAGTATTTTTTTTATAATAAATTTCAATTCTATTTGTTTTATATAAGTGATGGACAACCCTATCGATATAAGGTTAATTGACATGACTATTTTGCAATAAAGAAAATGATTAAATATTTGTTTAAAATATTTTCTACACTCTTGAATTAACAATTAATCATTATTTTCAAGTAGAAAAATTTACATATCAATTTTATAAAATGAGAATCAAATATTATTTATTTAGTATAATATTATTTTGTAAAAACTTATATTGAAGATATGATAGTTTTATGATATTGATGGAAATTTATAACTATTTTTCAATTACGTATAATATAACATGTTTCTTAAATGTGATTGATGATATTTTGTGAAGAGCAAAAAGAATTTTATAAAACCATTTTGTAATATTTTTTTAATATTTATTTTTTCTAAATTGAATAACTAATTTTAACATCATTTTAAGAATAACAATTCAAATCAAAATTTCATTTGAACTTTTAATAAAAATAAATTAGGAAATTTTTTTTGTAATTTTTTTTACACAGTTATGACACTATAAATTTAAAAAAAAAAAGAAAGTCAATTCAAACAGGCCCATAATCTTATAGAATAGATGATGATTCTGAATTTGATTGAATACTTGGTTACAATCTTGTAAGAATCGGTCTAAAATAAGTTTATTGGTTCACTTTGATCTCAATTAGTAAAAGAACAACATGACCAACAACCTTCTAGTGCAATTTCAGCCGAATTTGAAATATAAGAGATTGAATAAGAGGAGAGAATGCACCGAATGCAGAGAATCAATCGGCTCATCAATTTTATTCTCAGCTTTGCTTTAATCTAGAAAAACTAGGTAACAAATCGATCAAGAAATCTCAATATTCGACACAACGGGTATTCTCCAAACCACAGATTTCAAGAAATCTCGTCGATCCTTTAGAAACTATGAATGAACCCTCACTTTTCTTCCTACACTTAATAATCCAACACAATCTCACAACAGCCTGTAAAGCATTGCTCAAAAAAAGAAAATCCTTATCGCAAGTTTGTCAACAGTCAAACTGATACTTTACAAAAACTTATATTTGTATGATCTTTTGATAAGACAGAGCATAGAACTAAAAAATTGTTAATCCTTATAAATAAAAACACGAAGTAGCATAAAAATGATGAATCAAAGCAAAGAATTCACACAAGAATTATACAACAAATTGATGACAGGTATTAGGAACAAAACTTGAAGCCGCGGCAAGTAATGGTAGAAGAGACACAAAACAATCACTCAAGCAAGACGTTGGTGTGTATATATCTCATAGGACCAAAAATCTTCACTCCTTTTGCCTTTAACTGAGTGATGGATTGTGTTAGCAGCAGCGAACATCCCTATGAATGACCCAATAATCTTAATGAAACTCCAATTTACATTATCGAACAGGAACAAGTTCTGTCATTTCCATGATCATATTCATCATCTGATCCATCGACTTCACTGCAGTTGAATGACAAATTTCATCGCAAGGAATCAATCAATTACAGGCAGATAATAAAACATAAAAATGATAAGGAATAATGTCAAAATTTTTACCACAACCAACTCATATAATAACATGTACGACATTATTATACACAAATCAATGGTTGTCAACCTACCAGGGCATAGGACAGGTTATTAACAAACACATTTAATGCAGTAAAGGCCTAACTTGTGATATACTTGTAAGCGATGGCTCCCACTTGTAAACAATTTTCCAAGTTATATCACATAAAATGTGGGACTTTTAACAGACCTTCTCACTCATAGAACTAGACATCTCAGGTGCGACCAGAGTGGCCTGATATCGGGTGGTCTAACAAATCTTAGAAATGCTATGTAATACCATGTAGAAAGTAATGAGGAAAATACTTTCAGGACTGTTTACAAAGAAGAAATTACAATAACTGCTGTCCCAATAATCAGGAAAACTAATGGACTGCAATAAATAAAAATCAAATCATACTAAAATTAAACCCCTCCTGATTATCCTAGAGATACGGCAAAAAAGATATTGCTGAACGTACTCAATTGATCAAAATCTCCACACAAAAAACAGATAAAACCAATGAAGATCATAGAAGTAATACAGGTTTATACTAAAGAAATGGCCAAAATGTACATGGTATAGAACTATAATATACATTATGTGCATAGAGGCACAACACAAATTCCAAGTAGAAAGTTGGCCAATTGGGTCCAATAATAGTTGATAATAACATCAAGTCTGGACAGATCAATAAAGTGAAATAAAAAAAATAGCAGAAATTAAGTGATAGCATACCCAGAAAGAAAGAAAGAAAGAAAAGGGGAAATTTTATGAATTTTTTTGTTTATACACTTCTTGAGGACAAGAAAATAAATTTGATCATAATGGAATAGGAAAATAATAGAGGGTAAGGCCCCCTTTAGTAATAATAGGTCAAAAACAAAAAACAAGCATATCGAGAAATAAAATCAAAATAACAAAACTGTCTGGTTCCAAATCCAGTTCCACGAAACCACGTTACAATACCCACTAATCAAACATCATAAGCATGCAAGAAATGCTGAAATTCCCAACAAAAAAATATATTATTATTCACCTCCGATCACAGACACCCAAAAACTTCAGGAAAAGCACATGGCAACAGAAGCGCCACTCCTTGCTTCATCATAAAATTCCAAAATAGATAAAAAGAAATCAATCCAAATTTAAAAGAATAAATTAAGTCATTCCAAATGTATCTATAATCATCTTTTAAGAATACGAAACAGATGGACAACTTTAGGAACAATGGCTTTTAGTCTCAGATTTAGGAAAGCATATATCAAGACAGGAAAGCTTCAAACTTTAGAGGATTAGTAATCCACAACAAATATCTAGTTGCCTTTAATTTTCAAAGGAAAATTGCAAGAAGATTTGTATACCTATGCAAAGACAAAGTTAGATTTAAGATCTACCAGTTTAATCATTCAGCACTAATCGAACCCAATATAATTTGGAATAGACAAAATTTAAATTACTTTGAGCTTGGGAAAGCTCTAGTGCATGTTCTCTAATCAAAACTCAGTTCACCCTTTATCTCTCAGAAGTAAAGCCAATTTAATTCAACTCAGCCTCAAGCTAAATGCTAGAAGTTTCACTTATCAGTCATCACAACGAATACAAAGACTTAGGATCTGCAATTTAAAAAAAAAAAAAAAAGGAAAACGAAGAAGGCCATTCTAGCAAATCTCATGCACTTTTATCTATCACACAAAATAACGTATCAGGAGCTCCCACGTCATGACGATAAAATCAGGTAAACAAGACCTCTAATATTGTATAATTGTACAGAGAGAAAGATTATTCATTTTATTACAGCTGATATATAAAATAAATATTCAAATACCTGGGTTCAAATTCTCGTATTTCAACAAGCTCGCTACCACAAGCATCTGTCCACTGCACTCTTCTTCTTTCTGTTTGATCACAAGGATTACAAGCTCCATGTCCACCTGATGCTTCTTGTTCATTAGTATCCTCAACAGAAACTGATTTATTACTTTGTGGCCTTTTAATGCTACTTTTAAGTGTGACCTTTATACCATCATTAGTGTCATCTACATGAGCAGAGGGATCCTTTTCATCGTTAGAAACCGGTAGCCCTGGTGAAACATCATGCTGTTGGGCAGGGCCAACTTTAAGAGGTGATGGAGTATCAAGCCCTGCGGAAGTGCGACCAAAGCAAACAAAGGAGGCACACCCGCGGGAAAGGCGATTCTTTGTGGAAGCCAGCTGGAGTTCAGGGTCAGGTTCTTGGTCTACCAACTGGTACTGGTTCCAGGGTGCAACTCTCATGGGTTTATCCTCATTCCTCTGTCCCAAAAGGAGTAGGCTCATGCCCTTGCTATACCCTGAAGCCGAAGCAGAGAAGAATCCTCCACCTTCTACTGCAAATAACATCAGTTCTGCTCATCGGCACGCCATAAATGATTTATATATATGACTTCCTCCTCTTAGAAGAACAAAAGCTACAGCCTTTTCAACCAAACGAAATCAATGATCAGATTGATTTTCCTTAGTTTTAAAGTCCTTTGGTTAAACTCTTTAAACAATATTTTCTTATGCACTTACACTCTTCAAAAATCAAAACACAGAATATGCTCGGTTGAACAAGTTCGATTTGAATGTCAATAAGATAACAATAATTATTCTTTTTAAAAGTAAGATAACAAAAGCACATTTAACAGTGAATTTACAAATTACCAAAGCCTTCATAGCTAAGGCAAGGACAATCTCCAACAAACAAAATACACTTTTAGACTAGCACAAGTTATTAGATGCTCTAAAAACATGTAGAATATGTAACCCAAAAAACCAGCTAAAAAGGAGCCATAGAGTAATTGAGTTCATTTATTGTAAAAATATTTACACATACTTTGTTTGATTTCACGGTTGGAGCACTTAAAATAGACTCCGGAATTGTAGAATTGATTTTGACATGTTGGGTTGCTTTTGAGTAGAATTGATTTTGTTTTACAAAATTGATTCTACTTAAAGCTAAGATTTGTAGATTTTGAGACTAAACTTAATTTTTACACTGAAATTTACTACTCAAATCACTTTTGCAAAAAAATTATTCAAACACAATCACTTTAACTCAACTCACTTTTAACCCGAACCAATTTTACATAATCAATTCGACCAGAACCAATTTTAGAGAATCAATTGACCGGAACCAATTTTTTTCACCGCAGAACCAAACAGGCTGTCATCATTTTCTTACCAATCAGATGAACACGAACTGAAAAAACCTATGGATTCACTCGACCAAAAGAAAAAAGAAGATCACTACTTCAATGCAACAACTCCCAACAGCACAACACGTATACACAATTATCAACAAGCAATTTCTCAAACAGATTCACAACTCCAAAAAATAAAAGCAAATTAAATACCAAAAAAAAAACAGCAAAGTTTCTCAGTTAATCGCAAATGCAAGAGAAAGAAAATCAGAAACACGAAATCAAATCATGAACAAATACACTTAAATCAAACAACGCAAAGTGAGATTTTGAAGTGACAGTTTCCATTCACTTTATCAATAAACTAAAAGCAAATCTAAGATCGAAAGAGAAGGAGAAGCGATTTAACAATACCGAATAATCAGGAGCGCGGTGACGGCGCGAGGATCGACGGTGAGGATGAGTAGCAAGAGCGTGCGTCAGTCGCCACCTGGACGAAAAACTCGGCGAGAAAATAAAATTGAGTGACGAATAATTATGAAAAGGATAAAATAAAAAGGGTTCTGTGTATTTTTTTCATGTTTCCAATTATTTAAGAAGAGGATAGGATACTGACTCACACGGCGCATGATAGCGACTTCACATCATTTCTTAATGGGCGCAATTGTTTTGGCTCGGCATGCATTTTGCTTTCTAGTTTTACTTTCATTATTTATTGGGAAATTTTTCGAGATAATAAATTGTTGTTTTTGTAAAATCATTTTTAATCTAAAACATATATAAAGGTAAAATATATAAAGGTAAAATATGATATTTTGGTGCAGCCTATTTCTATTTCAATTTTATTTTTATTTTAATGTATAGCTTACTCAATAACTTCTATTAATTTATTACATAATTTTTTATTTAACTTTCTACTATTAATTTTCTACTTAACTTCTATTTAAAATTAGTATTAAATAAAAAACATCATTTAAATTTTTACATGTGTGCTTTAGGCATTTTCTATAATACACCTATTTATTTTTAAAAAAAATGTGTTAGCAATTAATAATTAAAAATTTATTAAATACATCCTAAGGTGCATATTGCTAAAACATATCTTCATAAAAATAGGTGGGTGTATCCTAGTAAAATCCATATATATATATATATATATATATATATATATATATATATATATATATATATATATATATATATATATATATATATATATATATATATATATATATATATATATATATATATATATATATATATATATATATATATATATATATATATATATATATATATATATATATATATACATACCCGCATGGGTTATGAATTGCATGTGCTATAAAATATATGAGATTTTGACATTTCTAGGTTTGTGTTGTATTTTGCAGAAAACACGTCTGGTATGCAATGACGGACGTCAGCATTGATGATGGGATGACCATCATCACTTATAACCTAAATGACAGACGTAAGACTCATGACGACCGTCAATGATAGTTGACAGATGCCCTTTCCATCTAATGACTATCATCGTATGCTAAAGGGTGACCCTTTTTTGGGCATTACAAGATGATGATTATTATGGCCATGACGATCACACCGTCATCCTGATTGGGTCGTTGTTTTAACTTTGTTATTATTTTGGAAAGGCATCATCATTCTGGTGATTAGAATGTTGTGTAAGGATTTCCAAATCCAATATGGCATGTAGTACTGATTGAGACGAGTTTAGCGCATTAAGTCCCATACAGTAGATAGATTACCCAAAGTATATGATTCCTTGAGGATAACATTCCCAAAATAGGAAAGGTAAATAAATTGAGCGCATCATTATTTGAGGGTGTTGATCCTAAATATTGTCCTAAGCTTCCATTGATCACCATCAAGTATTTCCATTCTTGATAATATCATTTACAAGTCATTTTGTCTATTTATCACATTTAATCATCATTCATCTTTTCATGCATTATGGACCAAAGTAAAAAAAACATCAACTTTTGGCTTAAGACAATTTTTTCTAATTATATTTCATTTCATATTCATATGTCATTCGTCATATCATCCATACAAGCCAAAAGGAAGGTCAACAAAAGCCCATTATAAAAATTAGCGAAATGACCAAAAGAGAAAAGACAAAAATTACATAAGAGACAAAAAGGAAGGAATCAAAATATCTTTTGTTATTCACATTTTCATCATGTACATAGTCATTTACATAAGTGACACAATTTTGTCATTTTTTCTTTACAAACCAAAACCATGCATCTCACATAATGATCACATTTCATTCTCCACATCCATACATAGCATAGTGATTGAAAGAAAAACAAGATTTTAGTTTGCAAATTTGAATCCATACATCATTAACTGTCATGACATGAATTTTAATTAAAACGGGTTAGAAATTACACAAGAATCAGAATGTATTTCATTCATTCGTCATAGACACATTACAACAGAGCATCACCATATTACATCACATGAGAGTCACAACTTTGATCACACCAAAATCACCACACGATTTGCACCTAGATGGTAACTCACAAAATCAAAAACAAATATCACACAATATTCTAAAAAAAATTATCTCACTAACAACCTCACTAAAAAGCTCACATGATTTTCCTCTCTATTCCCTACCAAACCTCACACGGTTTCTCAATCTCACACACTCACACACTTGAGAATTAAACCTAATTTCACCTATAAATGCTAAGAAATTTTCACATTAAAGGGACAGACACGAAATCCACAGTTTGAAACCTCCATTTCCACACAAAATAACTTTGATTTTGCACAAGCAATACAAAGAAAGTCAAGGAGAATTTTGGAGTAGAAGTGTTTAGGATGGGAAGGATAAGAAGGATACAATCAAAAGAGTAGGAAAAAATAAAGAAAAATCATAAATCAAAGCTCACCGCATTCTAGAATTCTTTACTAGAAAATTCATATTCCTGCTGTGATCTTCATCAGAGTTTAGTTTTGATATGTTACTTTTTTCATTTTTTCTAACATTTTTTTATACGAACTTATTTTTGCACTAATGTTGAGTATTTCCCCCATAGTTGCATCCTTCAATTCCTTCCCGTTATCATTTAAAATACAAATTAGGGTTGATTGTTCTCGGGTGTTCTTCACATTCATGCATGATTTTTTAGAAAGGCTGATTCAACTTGTTTTGAGTAATTTCAAAGCCTAGATAGCTTTCTAATGTAGTTCTAAACATGATTTTATAACTGAGTTTACCTGAAACCTTGAATTGAAGTTGAGTTGCTTTCATTTATTTTGAATGTAGGAACTTTTGGATTTGCTAAAACTATATTGATTCATGCATATTTGATTGTTAATTGGTGTTCAAACTCCATTTACGGTCCATAGTTGTTTCATTTACAGTTAATTCATGCTTTATTTTGTTTAAATGATGTTGATATTTTTATTGCTCATGAACATCGAGAGAGAGAGAGAGAGAGAGAGAGAGAGAGAGAGAGAGAGAGAGAGAGAGAAAATCAGAAAGAGGGCGATTTAAATTTCTAGATTTAATCTCCACCGTTTGATCTTATTTTATTTTTTGTTTGTTGTTAGTGGTCTAAGGACACGTGGCTAGATGATCATCTGTTGGATTTCGATTCAGATTAGGGGACCGGTACAGGCCATCATCTAGTGGATCTCTATGGTCCTTAGCATGATAGCCACTATATCCAATATTAGGGTCTTGATTTAATCCATCCAGAGGTATTGGAGATGAGATCTAAGCCATCTGATCTCAATCAGATGGCCCTGATTGATCTAAAGTTTTTTTTTGTTTCGATTTCAAGTTATTGGGCCTCTTTGTGCTAGAGCCCATTTGCTTAGTTTCACCCCTTTTTTCAATCTCACACGCCTAATTGGTGTGAGATCTTGAGGTTGTGAGCTTTGGTTGGGCCCAGGGGCGCCTCACCCCTTTTTTTCAACACTCCCCCCTTTTATTTATTTATTTAGGCCTTAAGCCCATTTATGCTTTTTTGCTTGTTGAACCCCTTTCCATGTATTTGTACCCCATTTATATGTTTGCTTTTGTTTTTTTCTAATTAATTTTATTAATTTCAAATATTATTAATCAAAATATCAATTTCTATTTTTTAATAAAATCATATTATTTTACAGCTTAAAAATCAAAACCATTTCCCAATTAAATCAAGACCATTTTTCAAAAATTAAATCAAATCATTTATC